AAATCACCTGGTGCGTTGACGCAACAACTCCCACAATTGATAAAATCCGACGTGCACTGGTACCGCAGAACAAAGTTATTTGCATTCACGGAGCTGATTATTCCATACCATTATAACAAAAGATACTAAGATCACCGCTGGAAATCACAGATTTACGTGTGTTACGTTTTGCGGATTGATGAATATTGTACGATCAATGGGTGGGGGGGTCATAAGAAATGGAAAGGTTCAAAGGGTGCTACGGATGAATAAAGGTTGAGAATGGTCTGCTACACTAAACTTTAAACGAGCATTGGTTCGCACCACCTTTGCGAGAGCTCGTAAGATTTGCTCCGAAGATACTATCAGCAGTGAGTTGGAGCACGTATCCTCAACATTACAGGAAAACGGATACCCTAAGAGATTTGTAGCACGATACGCAAACACAGAAAGCAAAGAAAAACGACTGACTGACGAATGTCCTCCAAGAAAAAAGTGCTTATGACACTGCCGTTTAAAGGGGGGCCAAAATGATAGAAGTATCCAGCACCGTCCCTCCGCCATATGATAAAGAAGTATTATTATGACGGCCCGAACTTGTGCTATTGTACCGAGTAAGGAAGCTGCTATGTAAAATCCAACCTTGACAGAGCCAGACCCCCTAGTTACCCCGCCTCATGGGTTTACCACTTTCATTGTTCAGACTTGTATGTAGCAAGTATGTGAGCCGAACATAGAGAAGGATATCAACTAGGATTTTAGAACATATGCAATGTAATATGGTCGCGAACGGTTCCCAGCTGCCAGAAAACTCAATCGCCCAACACAGCCGAAACTGGCAAGCACACTCCATACATTACATATATAGAGATGAGCATAAAGGCAATGGTGGGATCACTGGATCTGGCACAGATGAGCTCGTCATTGACCCGCCCAAACAACAATTAGTTGCTGACGTTTCATTGGTCGGCACAATATCATACGCAAAACGCACATCCCCCGGTGCACTGCTAAGAACAGAGGTACTTTACTGGATGTATACTAATGCACATGAGCAAACTTGTCGAACTGCTGCTACCGCAAGTATCATATGCCTGGGACCTAACATTTGCAACGGAAACTTGGCCGCGACTAAGGCGCAACACCACCTGCCTTTTGGCAGTCTTTTATCCTCCCCCAATGTCCACCGCAGAGATGGACCCCCGCCTGACTTCAGTGTTGGGGAGGGTAATTCGACGACGGTACAGTCATGTTCTCATTCCCGGCAACTTCAATGTCCCCGAATTAGAAGTTTAGGTTTCACCCAACGAACAATTCGAGGCAAAACTGCAAGAGCTCACTGCAAGGATTCCTTTCTAAAGCCATGTCAGTTCGTCCACCAGATTCAGAACGGGAAACAAGCCATCTGTGCTTGATTTAGTGATCACGAACGATGAGCTTATGATAAAGAAACAAAAGACGAAACCCTCTGAGGCGGAGTGATCACGTAATAATACTTTTAGACTATAAGTGTTATGCGGAATATCCACAGAAACAGTGATTTATTCCGAACAACCACACACTGCAACACACTCATAGTTATTGGGGTGTTTCGGACAATTGCCCCATTGATACTGCATGGACGGATATTGCTGGCAAGTTCAGTGATCTGCTTAAATTCGCATCAGTACACATGCCCATTCGTTCTACAATAGCGCCATCAGTCATTAGGAGCAGAACCTGAAAACGCATGGAGTTGAGAGACGCAATTTGGCAGGTGTACTGGTCGAAACCTAACCCTGACAACTGGAGCTACCATTTAGTGTACTGTAATTACTGTACCACACTTGTAGGTGAGAACAAATTAGTACACCAGCAGAGCCTAGTAGAAAGTTTTGTGCTAAGAAAAAGCATCTGTACAGATACGTGAACAGCCTCCGTAATATTAAGAGTGGTGATCCACTAATTACCTCAGCAAATTGATGTGCTCAAACTGCCGAAGTGGAACAGCCAACGTCCCACGGCTGCGATATGCTTCAATTTTTCGACGCGCCATCAGCATGTCGCATACCTGTCCCATTCCCTCAAACGTCAGTACGCACACACGTCACTGACAGTTCTGCGACCGTACTGAAGAAACCACTATCGTTGCGTACCCATATTTCCTCCGGTGTTAACACCATTCCCTTGAAAGCACTAAAAGTGGCAGCTACGAAGATAGCTGAGCCATTAGTTCGAATTTTCCACAAAGGGGGGGGATTGCCTGGCATGGCCAGCAGGCCTCCCAACATGTGGAAGTGCAGGGTATCATCACCCCACGCCAGTTTATCAAGGGTGTCGGCCCGTTCGGAGCTCGCCCAACTATCTCTCCAGTGATTCTCCCGTTGATCTCAAATCATAATGGAGTCGATTCATAGCTGAAGCTCTAATGGGCTACTTCGAAAGGTTTAACATCATAGCACAGGAACAACACGGATTCCGTTACCATCGGTCGATTACCACCAGTGTTCTAGTTGCGCGTGTCAGCTGGACCCAAACAGCCGACAGTGGGACCGATATTGATGTCATCTACCACTTTCTAAAGCCTTCGACCGCTTAGATCACTGAATACTTCTGCAAAAGCTGCGTACGCACGGAATTGGGTACCGGTCCTTAGATGGATCGGAAATTTCCTGCTTCAGCAGCCATTTCAGGTTCGGGTTCATTTTCTGATCCTATTGACGTGGACTGCGGCATCCAACAGGGATCGGTGTTAGGGCCGCAGCTATTCCTAGTCTTTATCAACGATCTCGCGAGTGCCATCGAGTCAAATATCCTGCTTTTTTTCGATGACATCAGATATGGCCGAGGATCGGTTGTCAAGGCGAGCATAACGTGCTGCAAAGATACTTAGACCGTGCCTCTGAATGGTCAAACGCAAATGTACCCCCGTTTAACAAGGACAAGTGCAAACCTATACATATATGTCACAAGCCCACTTACGCACATAAGCATCGAGAACACATGCTGAAAACCGCCTCAAAAGAGCGCGATCTTGGGGTGGTGATGCAAGACGACCTCGGTTATTCAGCGTAGTCTTTGAGCGTGTCCAAAAACGCGAACCAACACGCTGGTCTCTTACGGAGGGTGTTCTGGAGATTCGACCCCTCCACCTTACCCCAAATGCTCAATGTGTATGCGAGGCCCCATGTGGAATACGCGATTCAGGCCTGGAAAGCTTGGTTAAAACGCGATCCGGTTGCACCGGATACCGCATAGTGAATGGCAACGGAAAATGTGAAGGGCTTCTTCCACCTACCATACCAACTGTGACTGGAAACTTTAAGTTTACAGCGGAAGTTATTGCCATCTGCGGGGCGACCTCATTCTGGTGTACCAGAGCTTGAAAAACCCCGGTCACACTTGCTGCCACCAGAAACCTAGCAGCAACATAAAACGGAAGGGTAAGCAGCTGAAACTAGCTACGCAATACAATCGCAGGAATGTCGCCTTAACTATATTTCTCTGCGAATTTGTCACCTCTAAAACGCTCTTTCGACTTGGTTTTGATTTCTGTTCACTTAGTGACAACGTGACGCAGACAAACATTGTGCTCTCCAGCTCCCACGAAATTGATGTAAGCAGATTTATTTCTTGTGTAAACGGATACACATGTGCGTTAAAGGATATAATTCGACTTACAGTGGATGTACATTTATACTACGAATACCGCGATGAGTCCATCGGTGTGAGCCTAAATTTGTCGAGTTTTGAATTTTCACTATGATCATCTTGCTGGACCTGTTAAGCTTCAGCCATTTTTTACGCGTATAAAACCATTGTCCCATTGTTCGAACGACGGTAGCGTTCTCCGAAACCCGGGCGCTCGCCACCCTTCGTCGTCACGACTGTTGGCAGATATATGACCTGCTTTGAGACGCCTGTAGCACCATCCCCTTGTCTTTACGACGTTACACCTCGCGTGGACACCATATGTTCGGAAACTCTGGCACGGCATGACATGCTGCTAACCACCCGAAGTGGCGTTCGTACGGGTTGTGATGCCACCACTAGGTTTGCTTATGTGTCGGTTGAATCCATGGCAAGGACAGTCGCACGAAACGCACAGCGCGTCGCGCTGTGTGCGTGTGAACAAGACGATTGCGTGGGTCACATGCAAACAAGTGAATGGGATGAAGCGGCTGTTTAGAATAAGGGAGTACCAAACGATACCGAGGTTACTGTGCGAAGTGCAGTATAGCGATGTGAGCATCGATCAAACTGTCGAAACTGAGAAAATACATGACGGGGCCAAACAGCGCTAAGGTGCAGATGTTCAAGAAGAGTGGGGTCATGCAATCAAATGATCATAAACGCACACGTTCGAAGGCCGTAAACAGTTAGGATGAGCGTGTGAATTAGTTGAGGGCTAAATTCGAGTACCATTAGTCATAGTTTGGTGAATTTGATGAATTTGACGGCAGAAGAGAATAAAAAGCGACTACAATCTTGACGTGGGTCACCTATTGTGTTGACCACACAGTGAGAAGGAGCCATGCTGATATGCAATTGGGTCACAAGCAGTAGAACGAAAAGGTGCGGCTAAGGTAGGCCGTGAACAAGGTAGATGCGCTAGAAGAGGGTTACTATTCAAGTATTGGTTGTGAAGAGGCAAGCACTGACTAACACAGTTGCGAGTGAGGAGGAAACTTATGGTGGTTTTACTCCGAGATTCGGGGTGTGGAAGAGTCAGTAACTCGCCAGTGTAGTACGGAGGCAATGATAAGAAAGGGATAATTGACGATGCCGTACGACTCTCTTAAGATGGAGACAATTCCAAGCGTGGCGTCACTACGGCCCATCACATCGTTGAAAAAAGTACCAGCCAGACAAGAGCAAACTAATAGCCGTCCACTTCTAATAAACAGTCGCCCAGACAGAAATACTTGTTTCGATGTTAACGGTAAATTGGTGTCGCATCGCATTGCTGTCAAGAGTTGTGGGCATTCAATATCCCAGGAGGGCTAGGGTATTGCACAGTGACTAATCCCCGGCCGTCTCCAGAAACACACAATCGAGCGGCAGAAAGAAAGAGGTGAACCACAACGTTGAACAACTGGTTACATATCACAGAGAGGGGAGAACAAGAACGCAAAGGCAGAGAGATAATACAACACAGGTTGGGGAGGGTACATGGCGAAATGAAAGACAAAAAGCACGAAACGAATACAAACAGAACACGATTGAAGGGACGCCCAAAGCCGAATTATGGTTTCCACATAACAGATAACCAAAAAGAAACCCACAGAACTCGCGAGCAGACCACTAAAATATCAGAAGATTGACAGCATTCTTCAAACAGTGCAATCATGATTGGGGAAGACAAACTGGGACGCCGAGTTGGTGAGGGGCACACGTAGAATGTAAGAAAGTATCCGACAGGAGCCTGTGCCACCAAGTACGTTCAAGAGCGTTGAATTTCGAACAGGCGCACATTGGTGTCATACCAAATGGGTGGTGACAGATTTCTAAAAAAAGGCAAGACGTATAAACCAAAGCAGAAAGAAACAATCACAATGACTCGGGATAACTTCACTACAACAACAACAACAACAATTATAGACTGTTAGCTCGCCCACAAATGGGTGGAGTGGCGGCACCTTCAGTCAGTCAGGGCTATTATGCATCATTATACAAGTTAGCCAGAGGCGGAAAACACCTCAGCTATTGTACCGCAGCACAAAAGAAAAGAAAATACTCGTAACAGAGGCACACACGGTTGAGTCACAAGCAACGGATGGCCATCGTTTCGGAGAACTAACAGATGGCTATTGTGTAGCAAAGAAAAGATTTATGTCTAGTAAATGGGATCGTGATTAGAGAGGTCAACTAAGTGGGAGGGATAAAGTAACTCACAATACAAACGCATTGAGGTTGGCTCTTAGCCATATTAACAAGTGTATCCAGTCAAACGTGTTTATCATTTTTCGGACCCAACACCACGGAGCCGAGAGGCTCCAACGGTTCATTGGCTAGATAGCAAAGAAATTATCCTTCGGAAGCCTCCAAGTTGTGGTACTTGACGAGGATGATGACCCGAGTGTAGTGAAACCCAGACAAACGGGATACAGACGTAGTTCGATCGATGGAGACAGATGCAAAGAAAAGTTAGTGACATTGGTAAAACGTGGAAACTATTACATAGGCCGACGGCTCTTACCGGTAGTTACTGTTCCACCATCACCGGTCGTCACACAAGGATCAAGGTAACCAGAAGAAAACCGAGCCGGATTCCGTTATTCCTAAGAAGTTCGTCATAGCTGTGCGCAGTGTGATAGCCACCATACATGGGAGGCAATCAGCAGTAGGTCGGCAGTTGCACCGGCGTTTCTACGCCGCGCAACCGCCAGTAATTGTGTGTTGGCTAGGGATACTGCGAATTCGCCCGCATTCAAGCAGGCCTCGACCATTCAGCTACAGACCGACAACGGAGGTAGTATTGGACGACCGATTCATCGTTTCGAGACTTATTAGTGTCACAAGCAGCAAGTTGTTGAGAGGGAAAGGTAGAAACCGTGAAGATGTTGTTGACGAATCAGCATCAGCGGCAAACAAGTCGCTGACCATTACCAGAATGGCGTCCACACAATCCATTTAGTATTTGGTGCGAAATACTGCGGATTGTAGCGCACAACAAGTACCGTTGACGCGGTTACCACTGTTTCGTATTCAAACCATCGGATTAAAATGTGCCTGATGAGGTGGCACAGTAAACGACTTGAGAAAAGCCGTTTCGCCGAAGTCGACTTAAACCTCATATGACAACCATCTGTTCCTGGTCACATGATGTCAATGATAGGTAGGCACCTTGATCCTGAGGGTTTTCTATTAACTCATCTTGTCCCCCTCTTGCTTCTCATAAGTGGGAATATCTCTGATAACCTACACCTATATGACAGTGAATTAAAAGTAAGGAATATTTTATGCGCTGTTGCTGGCATTGATGATAGGAGGGCAGGCAGACAGGCGGCTGATGAGATTACCGGTGCATGGGTGCCCAAAGAATTCCAAGATATTAAACGTTGATCAAAACGAGGAGGGTTATGGGTTCCATCGTCAGTTAGATGGAACACGTACCAATGACGAGTTCAGGGAAGACGAAATGGCCGTCCAGTGCCTCGTGGGACGTGTCGTGACCGTCTCCCAGAGTGCCGCTATGAGAAATCGTCTTCTCAATTGAGCTAACCCAGGCAGTAAGAAACACTCCTTAAAAAATCGCATCTGTCGCGAAAATAAGCCGTCACTAGAGCATACAGATGGATTCCACATGAGGTCATATGTCATTCTTACCCATTTAGATTAAGCGAAAGAGAGGCACTGCTGTCGACCTGGATGAGCTTGGGGACAACACGTGCCGCTTGGCAACAATAAAGGTACAACATATTAGCATACTAAAAACCTGCAACAAGAGTAGATCTTGATGGAGGTGACTACCACTCCATTGTCTCGGGTGATTTCATTTTTATCCGTTGCGGCATCTTGAGTCAGATACCGCCGAAGCACATGCACCGAAGAAAATCTAATCCAGTGGATTCCGCAAGTAAGTAAGTGGACCTAGGGGTTCCGCCAGCGTTAATACGCATCGACAGAAGGCGTGTCTATAGTGCTTGAAGTATGTTCCTGATGACAGAAGCCCAGGAGTCAACGAAGATGAAATGTGTCGGTAACAACAGGAAACAGAGATATGGTAATCGTCATTGATGAGGCAAACGCTCAAATGGGTCCCCTGTCAAAATTACAAAAAGAGGGTATTTTGAGACAGATGGTGGCTGCGCACTGACAATGAGAGGTACTTTAATCGGAGTGTGCGGTGACCGCAGTCTCCAACATAAAGTCTGTATTGGGTTACTGTTGTCCCAAACATGGCGAGTAAATACAGTTGCATCACAGCACTTGCAACACTAACATCTCGATTCCGAACATGAGCGAGCGAGCACCTGAAGCTGGACACCCCCACTCCCAAAATTCCAACTGTACAACCCACATGGCTCTGATTAAGCTGAAATGCCACAAAATTGTCTTCAGAATTCTCCACTCCAGCCGTAAGCATGTTTTCCACCGTGATGACGTCGATTTATTGTTTTCGTTTTAATGCATGCTACTCCGTCTTTTTCAGATCACATTTTCAACGCTAATGCAAGGGAGGCATAGTAGTGTTTGCATGCCGTGTTTCCAATGATTTCCCCTATATTTCTAATGCCGTCGTCCACTATGTTGTTTGTCTCAAGGCTGGTCTAACATCACATATACACATGTGCACAGGATTGGTGAATAGGTGGGACAAGAAATATAGGCGTGTTTCACTGAGATAGCTGCATGAGTGAGACCAATCGATGGAACCAAAAATAGGCTTGAGAAAACACGGAACCACTGTGTGTCAATAGCATGTACATGTCTGAGAAACAGCACTAAAGTAGACAAATCGGTGAGATGATTTTGAGGAATAGCTAGACAGGTCTCGGCAATACGCCTGTATTTCAGTCAAATCAGAGCTTGATACGCTCGGATGGATGCATTTTCAGCTTACAGACTGTAGATAGCATCAACAAAAATAAAACAAAATCAGACGAATGGAATAAGAAAACAAGGTATCACTCGAATAAACGGCCCCGTATCAGCGAACAAGGACCGTAGATTGCTGGAGAGAAACACAGAGAGTTGCATCCTGTCGAACGCCAGTTCTCCAACCGGAACGACACTGTCTCAGTTTATCAAAACATTTATGACTAGTTGGTCTAAATGTTTTTGCGGTTTTATGGCCAAAATCAACAAGTTGTGTGCTATGCGCAGCACCTCGAAGTTTTCTACAAAAGATAGGCGGAACAGGATAACACCAGTAACCTTGGAAATAGTCTAACCAACATATTTCGAGAAAACGGACAAATCTGCGATAGGCAGCATAGAAACGACGTTCCGTGAAAAAGGCAAAGGCCGATTTATAGGTCCCGCCATGATTTCAAATGACGACTCGCTGATACAGGACCGCCAGGTAGCGTGCGGGCTAGCGGTACGACGATGTCGTCTGAACCTAAGCAGAAGTGAAGCAACGACTTGTGAATCGCACTCGGCCGCCAGCCGAAGAGTAAGTGAGATGTGCCAAGGTGTGGCACACGCAACAACCAGTGGGGGGCGGACAAGTTGGTTGGACAAATCATGTAGTGTGCAGTAATCATTAGCAACTGTGGCATTCATGACACTAAAACAAATAGTCTCGATGTTAAAAGGGCTGAGGCACACACTCACCTGAGATATATGACTCCCCATAAGAAGTTGCGGAACCAAACAGCAGTCCCAGCGTTTGACTGATACTTGCGGATCAAGATCGGATGCGGGACAGGAAGTAAGCCAACCAAAGTTCCGTTTTGGAGAAATTTCACAATTTCTGATTCATCTGTTAAACCCCTAGAAGGGAAGAAAGTTCAGTCAAGAATGAGCCTCATGTGCCAGAGACAGGTAAGTACTTTGTCGTGTGAGATACATGCCTTTAGCGTAGCAAGCAAGGCAAATATGAAAAAGTGGCTCATAGATGACATAAACAATAAAACAATCACAACGTAACTTGAATAGCACAACAAGAAGACAAATGTTACAAGATGGTACCATTTCGTGCCCTCTGTTCACTTGCAAACAGACAACATATCAAATGAGAACGTGACAAAAAAAGAAATCAGTAAGTTGAAAGCGTGAAGTCACATGCAAGCGAAGTAAACCTTGGCTACAGGTTGAGGAGGAATTATTAACTCCAAGGGAGTTTGAGCATAACGAACAGTTGCGTCTGGACACACAATGTTGGAGAATGCTTTTTATGGTCACTGCCTCGGCAAACTTGAGGACCCTGGCGTTTGTGTCATCTGTCGGAACACATCGCCAGAGTCGTCAAGTTTGCCGAGGCAATGGCCATAAAAAGCATTCTCCAACATTGTGCGTCCAGAAGCAACTGTTCGTTACGCTCAAACTCCCTTGGAGTTAATAATTCCTCCTCAACCTGTAGCCAAGGTTTACTTCGCTTGCATGTGACCTCACGCTTTCAACTTATTGATTTCTTTTTTGTCACGTTCTCATTTGATATGTTGTCCAATTGCAAGTGAACAGAGGGCACGAAATGGTACCATCTTCTTATTGTGCTATTCAAGATAATACAGGGAACTCAATGCTTGGAACCACAACGTAGATTTACTAGTAAACTAGGGAACGATTGAATTTAGGTCGTGTCAAACGAGCACCAAATGCGGAACGACAGACGCGTAGTGGGCCCGTGTGATAGCATAAAGGGATTTGTACTCACACCGTTTAGTCGATGAAGATGGTACACACTGGGGAATACAGTGACTTGTAGCTGAGTGTACTTGAGGCAAGCTTGCTGCAATAACTGATGAGTAGACGAAATGAGGTCAATAAGGTCCGGATTTTAAGAGGAGCTACATCGAAACAAGTGATTTAGCAAAGAGCTGTACATTAAAATGTCTACCTAGTAGACAAGGAAATATTACAGAATAGTGTATTTGGAAGGGTTGGCGGCATCCGGTTTCGGATTTGCCTGTCACTGTGGTTAGCCACAGGACGTCTGCGCCTACAGAGGGACCATGGGTGGCTTGCGCTGCACCACACACAGCTCCATCCATACACCCCACATCCAGTGTAAACCTGAAGGAATAAGACCGGGAGGCATGTGGATGGGAGCCACGTTTCATCAACGGAGTCGGCCCACACTCCTTCACAGACAAACACAAGCACGCTGTATTTGGGGAGTCAAGTGCACACAAGACGGTAGCTAGACCGTAGTCCGCTCCATACTGAGTGCATAGAACCACACTTCGAGCCTAACACGGCCACAAGGACCGTGCACCCCGTCCCCTGCAGCAACGATCAACTGTCTCCTGGAGCCAGTATGGACGAGGTAGTGGGTAATAGGCAAGTAGGCACCTTGTCAACATGCACATCCAGTGCAGCCACACCGGGGATGTCAAACAACAACCAATCACATGAAATGATATTAACAAATAAAATATATCTGTTACAGAATACGGCTATGCAGATATAACTCTTTCCTAAATCAGCATATGAAGTCAGCTGGCTAGCGACGAATAAGCGACAGGTACGGAATGTTCATAAGTTACTCGAAAAACCCTACAAACGCAATAAAGTTAACGAAGATAAGTGCAATTAGCGTAAGCAACGTGTGCAAGTTAATAGAAGATTATTCAGGTAGGCAGAACAAACCAAATAAAGTGGAATGAAATTTATCCAGCTTAAAAAGATCTAGTTAAAGTGTGATTTCGTTTAGTCCAACGGCGGTGAAGAAGCGTCATAATTACACGTGAACTGAAGGTAATAAACACACTTCGTGTCGTAATACAAAAACATATACAAAAACAGAGATGTCAAACATGACAAAATATAAAAACTTAAAAAATCAAGTAATATAATGTTAAGCGTTATATTATTCACGGAGTGTGAGGTCGGGGTAGGAAGAGAAGAGGAAGGGGAGGGACAAAGAAACTCACAACACAAACGCCATAAGATCGGCTCTTCATTAGGTTAATTAGGTTGTATCCAACCAAACGTGTTCATCGTTCTTCGGACCTCAGCTCGGCAGTCGTGAGGTAGCACTACAGTTGTGATAAACTGTAGCAATAAATAGCGGTGGAGAGCAATGCAGACCAGAAAGCGTCCTGGCTCTTGCGAATACTTCGTCCATATGGAGCGACAGAGAAAGAACGGGGCTCAACTTCATCACTGACGTAGGGGACTGCATTACCTCCCCATAATACTTTTTGGACATGTCTCGTAAATTTGAAGAGTAAACATTATTTATTTATTTATCTTTGAGAAATGCAGGGCATCTCAGGAGGATCTACTGATACTGACTTTCTTAGTGAGAGAAGAACAGAATACGATTGCCTTATAACGCAGCAGGCGATAGAACAAGAACACTGGAAAACAATGTAAGATTGTCCAAATAGACTGTGGTCGGAAGTTTGATGCGCAAGTACACGTTGTCTGCATCGTACATCTATACCGCTTTATCTGGGACATGCTGTGAACTGATATAAATAGAAAAGGGGACCAGCGACGGAATGGGTCCCGAAAAGAACTCCGGAGTTTATGTAGATGGAAGGAGAGAAGTAAGAAATCCACAAGCTGATGTCGCGTACCGTTGAAGAGAGGAACTACTTAGGTTGATGATCCAACAAAAGAAGACTGGTAAGATGATAAAGCGGAAGTGAACAACCACTGTGGTAATGGATAGAATACTAGAGGTAGGTATAAACAGTACGCCAGTATACAGTAAAGACGCTTCGGTGCCCCGCAACCACCAACAGTCGAGTGTGAGCTACGGATACCGCGAGGGTCGCTCGGTCCCCTAAGCAAGCTCAAAGCAGTGCAATTGCATTACAGGGCAGACTCGTGCATACAGTATAGCCGGTAGCCAACCAGTTCGGTAAACGTCACAGAGCGCGCAGTTTAGTAGCACTTCGTCTGTCAGCCTGCTACATGTGGTCGGAATGGAATACAGTCTAGTAATTGGCGGGGGGGGGGGTCGGTGGTTCAGATGTATGACTCGCAAGCTTCACGTCTCGAATTCGAATATCATTCATCCCCAGTGTGTTCCGAATCCGCATGCAACTACTTAGGGTTATATGACAACGAAACATCAGGATGATGTAATGCCGAGATATTCCCGTCGGGATCAAAGAGAAGCACAAAAAAGGACGAATGCGAACAACCGCAGATTGCGCTGTGGTGAGTGTCCATGAACAAGATGGTACTCTCTCGGTTTTACCGCGCATTCGCACTGTGTATAATTCCGATCCCAGTGTTGTTGCTAGCTTTGGGGTTTTGCATAGTGCATTTCGATCCCAGCCACTTCGGAGAATAGCAAAAGTGGCATCGCTGCGTAAAATTTATGGCAATGATCTGTGCCACCTGGGTAACTCATGCTTACGCGATATCGAAGATTATCTAGAACGTACTTGAGATTTGATGCATCCTAAAGAAAGATTTGAAAGATAAGAAGATGCTTAGTCTCCTTCGAAAAATCTGTCCTTTCATGACCCGTCGATTTCGCTATTCTATACGTTAAAAACTGTAGACTGAACATGTACAATAATCAAATTTCGAAGCGGCTGAAGGGGCAAAATCCTACATGCTAATGAGAAAAAACAACCAGGAGATTGATGATCTTATGTGGTAACTTCAGACGCAACCTGGTCGCTTTTATTTTGGTGACCTGTTGCAGATCTAATTCCGAGGTCGCTAGGATCAACCAGTCCAATTTGCAACAGAAATTATTATTATTATTACAAAATTACAAGTAAAGTCCTGCTACTCAGGAGTAATTTAAAATAAATAGCCTCTCCTAATTTCAAATGCTATGGATTTAGCGTCTAGCGAGAGGAGGTCATCCCTTGGCAGACTAGCTACTGTCAGTGACAGTGGAAGATAGGTGATGCTATATCCCAGTCAGTTTGAAAATGATGTAGCTCAGCCAACGTCCCCCATGGCTCAGTGACTTAAGCTGATGGCTAGTTAGCATCTGCCTCCAGCGGCAATCGGTTCGATTCCCAGTATGGAACTGAGAGAATGCGCACCACTGACGAGCCCCGATAGGGCGAAACGCGTCTGGTGCCTTTCCGGACTACACTGTGCTATGTAGCTTGTGAACTACTGGGATGAATACGTTAAAAAAGTATTAGTTACTCCGATCTCACCTCCCGATCCGTCAGATTCTGTGAGCGATTTCAAGATGCGAGAGGAGCAGTGAGATCTTCCCATGTTATACAATTCCAGCAATAGGCCGGAAACTAGTAACCAACAGCAGCGACAATTAAAAGTGCCGGCTAGTCGCAAGCACATGACTACTTAGAGCGACACTTCTTGCCGACAAGGTTGGAATGACTGTACGTTACGTGGAAATAAGCATTCTCGACTAACTTACAAGTTCCGTAATTCCGTGTTAAAGTGCGGAAAGATTGGACATCATCAAGCCGTTTGTCGTGGCGCTATTGGTTGCTTTGTTTAAGTAGCAACTGGTAAGCAACACCTCTAATCTAAGGCCTAGTCCGTTGCTCTTGTGTGTTCCTCTGACCAATCATTCCACATTGCCAAACAAATTATTGTCAATGCGGCATAGCAACATTCCTTCTCTACAAATACTAGTAGCGTAGTCTTTTACTTTTCAGTACTACTGCAAAAGCTAAATACAAGAATTTGAACTTAGACACACACTACAGTTTTTGTTAGAGGGATTACCGGACAGGTAATTCCTATTGTTGGTTCTTGTGATATTCCTCTTACAGATGGTCAGTCTGATTTAATCCACACACCACAGATATGGTAAGTGGACGGAATATGAAGTGTATAGTGTATAATATACAAGGGCCGATTTATCATGAAGATCTGGATGCACCCCAGAAACCAAGATGAAACCTCAACGGCAGAGCAGTATGTCGTTGCAGTCGGAGTAGGCCTCCTACTCGTGCAAATCTCACGGGAACTGTGTTGATCGACTACAGTAAATCCAGGGTCAAGCAAAATTGTTCTTATGCAAACCTTGGAGTGTGCATATATCTGCTAAACCACGAGTTCCTTATTCATGGCGAAAAAGAACTTTCTCAACGCACTAGAGATGCGTAATGGTAAGTATTATCGTGCAAATAAGATATGGATATGCGCCGGAAATACGTCAGTAGTTTGCACTGACGTTTCGCTGCCATACGATCATAAGCGGTTGTACGTGGGATAGAATACTAGTGGGGCATTCAGACCAATGGTTGAGCGGGGGCGCAAACCAGGTAGCAAGCCAAATTCTGGAAATACTCTATAGCAAGGATCTCTAAGACAAGGAAACGCACATGATTCATGGGTGATATTAAGGGGGAGTGAGAATGAGAACCATGTTGCTGGCCATTTAGAGGTTGATACGGATATTCGTTTTAGAGAGCCGAAAAATACGAGTCTCAATGACTACGCTGAAGTTGTCACGTGAACAATATCAGCCTGATGCCGGTTAGATGTCACTCTCGAAGAGATTTGGCTGCAGAGACAAAACACAGATGGGGTAAATGTGCCAAGAGGCTGTTAGATGATTGAGTGTAGGCAAGATATGTAGAGAATGACTGGGATCAGATGGAACTGTTTGAATGCGATGCAATCCAATCATCAAGTGTTTGATGTACGATCACTTTGCGGTAGCATCAGACCACACTTCTCTAGTGTCACTGAGTGTACTCCTTTGACTACCTGAAGGGTCGTGACAGATTGCACGAGGTTAATTAATGGGCGAGAAATGGGTAGACGGATTTTGGGAACGAGGCAAGGGGAGTAATGGCGACGTATTTCATCCCGTTCAATGCGTAAATCACTTAGACAGAAAAATGAGTGATGGAGAAAGGGTAGTCGGAAAACGGAGGACGCACTTTCGCCTAAATGAAAAAGTGATGTGCTAGAGTACACTGACCAGGATTGGGTGTGTTGTATGACGCTTATACTATGCTAACAGTTCACAATACTGCCCAATGGGCCAGTACCATGGGAGGAGCAACAAACTGGATGGCAACGAGTCAACTCAGGGCCAAACTGACGTCCTAACATAAGCAGAACGTCCAGAGGCCGCAGCGCTCGATAAAGGTTTCGTACAAGACTACGCCAAACAACCACCAAGATGAGTGGAGTCGTGCGTAGGCGGACCTAAATTGTAGGATGGATGTTCGTCGGCAATAAACAACTCTTTGCGCCTTTTAGTTCTTGTGCACTGAACCAGCAGGTCCAATGTCTTTCGAGAGACTGATGAGCGGTGTGAAAAAATGAGAGAATGCTCGCATGATATGCGTAGAGCTAAGCCTAGCTAATACAGTTAGTCCGGATGAAGAAAATCATGCAACTGCGTCACAAACCCTGAGTAGCGTCCCTTTTTAAATGTCTACTGTCAAACGATTGGGTGAGGGCGCATGTCGCCAATCGAAGCGGGTAACCGTCAACCTCGATTCAAGAGGCATCCTGATGCCACAAATTCCTATAGTTAGTAAAAAGTGTCTGGATATTGACAACAGGAAGAGATGTCTTGTCCCCGATAGCATCACTAGTAGACACGTAGCTATCGAGGAAAACAAAGTGTTTCCCCTGTCGACGTTACGCACATTCAAAGGAGAATACATAAACAATGAAGAGCGCGTAGCTGGATCACAAACGCTAAATTTAGATTGTGGTCGAACGTTACAAAGTTCCCTCCCTGTTGGCATTGGAGCGCATCAAAAAGAAAGTAGCAACACGAAGGATTGGCGAGTTAGAATAAGGCTCCGGCGAACAAGATAGGCCGCGGTTTACCTTAATTCGAAGTACGACACCATCTGAGACTAAGCAACATCGTAACCAACAGTGTCAGACGTGGGTGCACGTCAATAAAAGAGCTGAAGCAGAAACAAAAAAGGCAGTGGATTTTGTGCATAACGTGAGTACTCACTTGTCAATGCAAAATTTCTCCACCTGCGGTACCAATACCTGTAGCAAGCGCATTATCGTTTGAAACGGCATCTTCGCCTTCCATCCGGATGCCCACGCTGAACTGGGAGACAATGATTCGCTAGAGCAATCGGAGGATTTGAGAGATTGACCGGGTACATGACTTGTGCATGAGTCAGCTGTCTTCGGATTCATATGAATGCTCGATGCACACGGGCGTGGCTCCGGGGTTTGGGGTTCCATATGCTGATGCACACTCGGTCGCTTTCCTTGAGGATCGGAATCACCGTTGACGCCTATCTGAGAACAAAGATAGGATTACAAAGCCGAAGGAGTAAGTGCATACCGACAGTGTGGTTCAGTTGGAACAATGTTTCATATGATGGTAAAGTGCTAGATTTTTCAACAAATGGTCATGTCTGCGAAGTGTGCCGTCCGTGCTCGTTCACTGAAGCTAGAGAAGCCCTGTAGTCCGCCGTGAAGATCCGCATACGAAGTCGCAAGGTGTTAGAGCGCAGACAGACCGAAGAAGGATGAAAAGGCGTGGATTCACTAAAAAGCGTACCCTGAACAATGGTGTTATGGAATATGCGCACAAGTCAGGACGACCACCACAAATACAGCTTTAGTTGTCAGGGATACATGAATGCGCAATTAAGTAATCCAAGCACAGCTGAAACTCTCTCATAAGAAGGCCGAGTGGATCTCCAGCTTGTCGCCTTTTTGTGTTCGGTTAGACAGTAACCAACAGGAAAAATGCATCAGCATACTGCCGAGAAGCAGTACTGATGCTTAGCTGCCGCGCAACCACCAATCGAACGTTGGCGAAGGATTCTGCGGGGATCGCCCGATCCCCTAAGTAGCCTTGAACCCGCGACCTCAGATTACAAGGCAGGCTTGTGATCCTTAAGGCTACGAGTAGGCAGTAAATAACAGATGATGCGGCAGAACAACACTGATGCTACAGATGTCTGTTGCGGACCATCCGACCACTGGGAGTCTGAGTAGCACGGTCTAGAGCCTGGAAGGTGAACGCTAAGTTTGAGGTTGCTACCTTCGTGCTCTACATCATCAGTTGTTCATCGCTACACATTTTCCAATCGCTTCCGGCGAGCATAAATAACGTTCGAAGGGGTAGGCAGGCGGTAGGCTAATATATGCTAATGGTGGGTTTAGACTTAGATAGCCTGCGAAATGGCCCCTGAGACTGGTATAGATAACTAGCCCTGGCCTTATGCGATGAAAGCAGTCAAAGATAATTTTAACGGAAAGAGATGTAGAACAGCATCAGATGTGCGAGTTTAACTGTATGAGCACGGAAGATAAGACGATCCTCAGTTTCACATCAGTGGGGTCACACAAACCAGATACGACGCATCGTGTTGTATAAGCAAAGGGGGAAGCGCAGAACAACAAGATTCAAGGTGTGGCCGCTTGTCGGTTAAAGGTTCACGTCAAAAAGTGTACGTCGGTGAGCTGAAACAACGAAGCCACAAACACTAACCTGATGGGCAGTTAGCCCGAGGTGTGCAAGCGAACCCGATCCATGCTTGTGTGCGGTTTTCGACCAACGATCCTTTGGAGGCGTATCTGCGCTACTGTCCGAATGCGATCGAGCAAAGCGAGATGGAGAAGAGTGAGATACGAGGGCGTTCTCCAGAGGTTGATTGTTTCCGTCAAGAGATTTCAAGTTTTTGGATGTTTCATCCGCTGCATCGGCTAGTTGCTTATCAGTCATGACGCCAACTTCCAGAGGGGCGACAGACGTGTGCGGCTGTGACTCAAGTGGGGCGCCACTTTTGTCCTGATGGAAAAGTAGTGTAAGAAGCGCATAAATTAGGAACCCAGGGTAGGCGACAAAAAGCCAATAGCATGTTACACATAGGGGAAAAGGGACAAGGAAAGGACAAAGCTGTGTAACAAAAAAATATCCATGATACACATGTGCACAGTACAGTTGTTGCACTGTCATGCTACCGCAAAAGGTTATACGTGGAGTGAAATAGTGTAAGAGTGCGCCTAAACCCATACGAGAGCGCCGACTCGAATTGCAGACTCCTGGTCGGCTACATTACGGATAATCAACGGAACGCAGTCGCGGTTCCTTGCTGTAATTTAGGAACAACAGAAACAATCCGTTCAGGGTGCTCCAACTTAACAGACTCGTGAACTAATTGTACGAAGAATCAGGACAGCTATTCCACTTAAGTTCTTCCTTGTCAAATACACTGTTTTGTGGAATAGCGTATCAGCCACTATCAGGTCTTGTGCAAATGCAAGAACAGTCTGCATCAAAACTTGGAAATTCCGCGGACTGGAACTCGATAATGACCGTGTTTTCATCAGTAGAATCGTGGAATTTCTTCCAAGTTTGACCGAGGAATACATAGCCAGTGGGAGAAACTGTTGAACAAAACTGAATACCAACAAAAACCATGTATTTCAGAACGCCTTTATAACGCAGACGCTACTGAGCGCATATTTCACTCATATATGAGCATGATAGTAGCTGTACTAATAATCTGTAACTATGCTAGGGACATTCGGGAAATATACGTTTTATTGTTGGTGCAAAGTGTCTTAAGAGAGCACTGTGGAAATGACGCGATTCGGAGAAGCCCAAAATTGAAGAGGAGGACAGAGCGCCACGACACATTTGTTGTTGCGTCAATTGGTCGCTAGCATCAGGACTGGTAGACGGAAGGAACTCGTCAAGCGAAATCACCTGGTGGCCGGGGCATCCTGACAGTATCCCCGCCGGCGTACTATCTCTGGCCGCTGCATAGCAGCGAAGCACCCGTACAAAATGTCGGTGTGTTACTGAGCTCTTCTGGTCCACACTAATGGTATTCCTTGTCTAAAACGCTTTTGATTCTGATTTATTTGTGAGGGAAGGTTGGTTAGGAAGCGGGGCAATGAGTGCCGCCTTATCCTCAGGATGCAACTACCTTTCGACCATGCATCGGCGCATGAATATGGAATGAATGCTAAAACCCTTTAGATCCCACAAACACTCCTTCTCTCTTCTTAGTAGTACTTCTCATTGGTGCTACTCTTATGTCTGTAGGGCAGTAAATCATCAAGGGAAATTACTGATGCACTGTTGCAACTACTGACATGACATAACCCGGGCAAATGCGCAAAGCTACTTGGGATGCAGCTTTAAGACCCCAACGAAGAAGTGTTGTGACCTCCACTCGCTCGGCGTGCGTTGGTTGCCAGCTAGTGGCCGAAAGGATTGCGAGCATGTGTTGGAATCCTGACGCCACCGGTTCGAATGCACATTGGTGCGGGCGACCTCGTGCGACTGCTAGTCGTCACGTGGCAGCGAAACGTCGATACAGTGTGCCGGAGTACTGTTGACACTATTTTATTTCTAGTTTCATCACAACTAGGTTCTTAGTACGCAGTTCACACTATTTTATTTGGTAAGTTTGCAATTTTTAGAAGCACGTAGGGTCCGAGAATGTTATCCTGATGACATGCGTGATCAGTTCTACACTGAGCTATCCTCCGTGATACGGTCTTCACCGAGGAGCAACCCACTATTTCTGCTGGGTGATTTCAACGCGCGCGTTGGGCCTGACGCATCGGTGTGGACAGATGTTATCGGTTCGCATGGCATTGGTTCAGCGAATGCGAACGGTGAAAGGCTGCTCTCACTGTGTGCCACTCACGGCCTGACGATCAAGAACACTCGGTTTGCACTGGGTGCGAGTGATATAGCAACTTGGACACACACACGGAATGGTCACGCTCACCTGCTCGACTATGTCATTGCATGTCAGCATGATATGCGTGAAGTGCATATGACACGTGTACCGCGTAGAGCTGAGTGTGGCGCTGATCACAAATTGTTGCGGACCAAACTCTACATATATTTTCGTAAATTTATACATTGCACTCCCGCCGTGAATCGGCGTAAATTCAACGTTCACTCCCTAGGTACTGTGGAGAAACGTATTGAGCTGGAGAAGGCAATGGCTGCCCGCCTGCGTGATGTGGAATGCATAGCCACAGTGGGCGACCTGTGGCACTACATTCGCGACCCGGTGAAAGCTGCTTTTGAGGGGACCATCGGGGACGCATACTGTAAGCGGCCTGATTGGTTTGATGAGAACAATGTGACGATTGGCGCATTGGTGTCGGAGAAGAGCGCAGCATTTACTGCACATGTGGCAGACCCCAGTGACTTGGGGAAGCAGAGAAAGTTTAGGCGAATTCGATGGGGAATGACCCGAGAACTCCGTCGCATTAAAAATGCATGGTGGACGGAGAAGGCGAAGCAGATAGAGTGCTACGCCGAACGCCGCTAACACAAGGAATTCTTGGACTCCTTGAAGGCAGTGTGTGGACCGAGAATAGAGCCACTGATGATGCTGATCGATGGTAGCTCAGGCGCTACCTGCAGACAGATTGCAGATATAATGCAGATCTGGCAAAAACACAATGACTGTCTCCTGAACAAAAGTTCAAAGAGTAACTGGCCTACATCGAACGGCCTCAAGCAGCATGAGGTGAAGATGAGTCTGGCGGACACGCCGACACTGGATGAGACACAGAGAGCACTTGCTCAGCTGCACCACTTGGTGCAACACGTGTGGATTGAGGAGGAGGAGCCTCCTGAGTTGAAGGATGCCCTTTTGCTACCACTGTACAAGGGCAAAGAGAGAAAGCAATGCTGTATGAGTTACCGTGGCATCAAGTTGCTGAGTTGTGTGGGCAAGGTAATTGCCCGAATCCTGTTCAATCACCTCGTCAGTCAGGTTGTGGAACCGAATCTAGCGAAAGAGCAATGTGGATTCCGTTCGGGTCGCAGCACTATAGATATGTTGTTTGCGGCTCGTCAGTAGCAGGAGAAATGTAGAGAACGACATCATCTTTTGTATAGGTTGTTTGTTGATTCCACTAAAGTATTTAATACGATGAACCGCGAGTCATTGTGGCTGCGGTTGGGCAAGTTTGGGTGTCCGAGCAAGTATGCATGTTTAAGCGAATGTCTACACAGTGGTATGTGAGCGAGGGTGCAGCTGTGTGAATCTGCAGTTATCTCTGGCGTGAGGCAATACTGTGTCTTAGTTCCTCCTCTGTTTAACATCTATTTTCATACCATGATGTCTTGTGCATATGGTGTTCGTGTGGAGCACCGCATTGATGGTGGGTTGTTGAACACCCGTCGTTTCGGTGCGAAAACCCTAGTCTGTAAGACAACTATCCGTATGTTGCTGTTTGTTGACGACTGTGCGTTGTCTGCGCATAGCGCGGATGAGTTGCTGCACATGATTAGTGCTTTGGCTTCGACAGCGGCCAAATTCGGGCTCACCATCAACACAAGTAGGACTACTTTTCTTTTCCAGCCTTCAATGAGAATGGAGTCCGTGGGCCTGCCCGAAATCCAGATTGCCGAGGTGGTGTTGGAAACCACTTCGAGATTTTGCTATCTTGGTAGCGTAATAACAATCGACCAGCAGATGAGGTGCGAAGTGCGCAGCCGCGTATCGAAGGCGGATGCTGCATCAAGCAAGCTGGAATGTCGTGTGTGGAAACACCATCAGCTCACTGTTGGGACGAAACTGCCGGAATATAAGTCTATGGTGCTGTAGTTTCTTTAATACGGCAGCGAAACCTGGATGCTTTATCAGGAGGTCCGATATCTGAAGCGCTTCCATCAGCAGTGTCTGCGACGTATTATGCGCATCGGTTAGAGAGACCGAGTTACAGACACGGAGGTGCTCCGACGCACTGGCATGTATTCAGTGGACTGCATCAATCTCCTGAGGAAACTGAGGTGGCTCGGGCATATTCGCCGCATGGATTAGATCCGAAGACTGAAACAGCTGCTTTATGGCCGAGTGCAGGGAAACGGCACGTGGGAAAACCAAAGTTACGATGCCAGTACATACTCGAAGTGAGTCTATCACGTTCTAATGTTGATTGCAGGTCATGAGAACCGAAGGCGCTTGATCGGCAGACATGCCGCGATCTAATCACAAAGGCAGTTGCCGAGGTGCAAGAGAAAGCCCTCGTGCATGCAGAGTAGAAGCGGCAAGCGCGGAAGCGACAGGCGCTGATGGGCTGTACTCCATCGATTTCGAGCGCACGGTGTTGTAGAACGTGAGTTCGGGAATGCTTGAGTCAGGCAGGCGTAGGGAACCACAAGCGAGGCCACTCAGGAGCAGCATCGAAACGATGACGAGCCCTGCTGAGAACGTAGGCAGAACCGGCGCGTGCTTGTATGCTGTTTCTTTATTTCAGACGATTGGTTTGCTACTTTGACTTAGTGTTATCTTCTTACCTCATCCTAATGTGTAACTGAATAATCTATTAAATTGAACATTTCACATAAACTAAAGGTGGTTAACTTCGCTTATTTGTTTCCTCCTTCCTACATATGTGTCGATTCCTTTATCTGCCATCCTGAATTTACCACGGCTATTTTGATAATGCAGTTATTTCATATGCTAATTTAGAGGCATAATCGTACGGTGTATTCGATCTATTTTATTTGATATTTCATTTCATGTAATTGGCTGTTGCCTGACATCCCGGGCATGGCTGCGCAAGTTGACAAGGTGCCGACCTGTCTAACACGCTACACCTCGGTTACTGGCTCTAGGAGATAGTTGGTCGTTGCTGGAGGGGACAGGGTGCACGCTCCTTGTGGCCGTGTTATGCTCGAAGAGTGATTCCATGCACTCAGTGTGGAGCGGACTACGGTCCAGCCACCGCCTTGTGTGTGCTTGATACCCCAAATACAGCGTGCTTGTGTTTGCCTGCGAAGAGTGTGGGCCGGCTCCGCTGTTGAAACGTGGCTCCCATGCACATGCCTCCCGGTCTTATTCCTACGGGTTTACACCGGATATGGGGTGTGTTGATGGAACTGTGGGCGGTGCAGCGCAAGCCACCCATGGTCTCTCTGTAAGCGCAGGCGTCTTGTGGCTGGCCACAGTGACAGGCAAATCCGAAACTGGTTGCCGCCAGCCATATATATATATATATATATATATATATATATATATATATATATTATATGCTCTAAAACTTAGCGATGCAATAAAGACCAAGACGGAAGGCAGCCTGTCATCTTTCTCGATGTGGTCCTTGGAACCGGCTACGCGAAAGGACGTAGTACAATCACGAAGTGAGTGGTACTCTTGCAATAGGTTCATTACTTCACACTTCTAGCTTCATCACTCAGCGATTGTAGCTACTGTAAACTAAGTACTTAGGAGCACTTGACGATTGTTCCTCGTACTACCTTCCAAATCCGATGGCCTAGCACCGATCCGTAAAGGCACCAGACGGTGGTCTCGTCCTATTGGGACTCGTCAGTAGTGTGCATCTCAGGCACCAGCAGAAATCAAACACATTAGCATCAGCGGCACGCGCCACTCAGCGACGGGTGATGGAGGCGGACCGCCATGAATACTGGAAGCAAAGATTCACTGGATATTTATCTGTGTCACTCCATCGTAGTCAGATCGGACACGTGCGCAGAAGCACGTCACTGGTTCCTGCGCGTTTGCAATATATTATAGCCTCTCCATGTACGACTCGGGTGCGAGGCGTTCCCTAAACATAAAATCCGCAAGGTGGGTGCCTAGGAATTCCAATAAATTCCGAAACCGATTTCACCTCGACTAGTTTCACCGGCAAACTATTCCGAGATTTCACCACTCCACTTCCGAAGTATTGAGGATGAGCTACACGTTTCAGATCCGGCACTAGAAGCTTGTACCGATGGCCACGAGTACTGCTTGGTGCAACAGTGGCTTCAGAATGAGGAAGTGGTCCAGATGTAATATCCGGAGTGCTAGTATGAGTTCCACTCAAAATCAACGATATGACAGGTTATATAGTCGTAACCGTCTGCATCGGTCTTCGTACGACATACCCTGAAAAATGGGGATAAGTCTGGTAAGTAAACATGCGGAATCCATTCGAGTCCCTGCACCTTGTCACGGGTGATCCGTACTCGAGCCTCAGTCTTATGATGGAAGATAAGAGGTGCGTGGCAATCTCTTCAGACCGAATGCAGTAGCTGCGTATGGGCGCACAAAGAATACGCAGTCCGTTTGTATGTAGCTTGTTCGTGTTGACCACGGACTGCTGTTACTAATTCTTAACAAATTCTTATCATTAGCTTGGTAACGTGCGTAATAGGAACTGGATCCACCGTGCCTTGGTGCACGGATCCCAGTTAATAAACCGAACTGAGCCAAACTACCAAGGTATAAATATGATACACTGACTCACGTTGTGATCGCCGTTCACTGAATCATCGTAATTCGATAACTGGACTGATTTGTTCGAAGAATTATCCACGGACAGTTCACGTTCCGAGTGCTGTGCAACAGGTGTGTCTGTAGAACGTTGTGTGTTGACCGAACTATGGGTTCGTGTCTTGGAAGTTGAGGTCGCTGACACATGCGATGGTGACGATTGTGGAGTTGACAGAGCAGAGCTTTTATCAGCGAGCTCGGAACGGCGACTGATAATACGTTGGATACTGACTTTGTCCGTGGGCAAATTAGCTAAATGGTAGAAAACCTGGCGGTTCCGAATGAGGGTATACACCAAATTACTGTTGCCTATGAAGGGAATGAACCAGAGGTTAGTAGGAGCATGGGTCATATTAGCAGACAACGAGAAACGGCGAGTTCCAACTCGAAAAGCGTTAGAGAACGATGAAACCTAGGCTAAGAAACGAACATAAATTCCTCGGGCTCCATTTGCGCAAGTGACACAGAAAAATACGAGGAACTGAGGTTAGTGTGTAAATACTGAAAATGATGGATATACAGATAAGACTAAAATCTATCTAATGGACCAAGAACTAGCATCAGATTAAACACCATCGATCACGATTCGGAGAAAAAAGAACAGTGGAAAAACAGGTAAGATGAGCAAACACCACTCGGCCACTGGTCGAGTGGTCTGCGCGCCTGGTTTGCAACCATAAGGTGACCGGTTCGAATCCGCGTAGGGATTGGCGTCCACGCAGTATACTTTGTCCGCTTGCGACTTGTGGTGGTCGCGTGGCAACGAAACGCCATTACGGCGCACAATTGGTTATTTATTTTTATTATTATGCCCGCTCCAAAAACTGTATCCCAAGATCGGTATCAACCTCACTGGCGTTATACGTGCAAACATGGCCGGAGCTGAGAGTATAACTGCTCGGGAGAAAGTAAGAATTGCCCGGAATATCCAATACTTCGGCGATTGTTAACGAGTATCGCATCGATTTCTAACTTTCTGTTCTAAGGCCTCTTGAATCTACATGGAAAAACTATTTTGGAAGCTAACCTTCTAATTTTAGAAGTCGAAGGTCATGAGGCGACCTATAAATATGACCATAGTCTGACGCCTTTGTACAGTACCAGTTTGACTGCGGTTAACCAGTTATTTTGGGACAAGGTCGTTTTGACTTTTTTCCTTCGTTTGGGTTTGAAGTCGTGCGGAATAGATTAAGTGTATGTTTCGGAATTGCAGCAAGTGAGAAGATTTAACAATAACTCTGTGGCTTCGACCGTGGTCTACCGTTGTGTAGCCATTGAGGAGGTATCCAACAAGATGTGCAGCGACAGGTGCACAGGAATACTGACGGACGTGGGGGGGGGCTCACTGTGGCGCGGTCAAAGTTGATTGTGATGGCGGACCCACGTGTCATCACCCACGAAGACATCACGTAGCATATGACCCCGACAGGCCATCACTATTGCTTTGATTCAGCGTAGATGACTTGTTCGATAGTCGCGAGTGTATACCGGGGCTCCAACGATGAATTCATTGTGTTTGGTGCAGGTAGTAGATCGATTTGATGGCTCTATGGTCGGAATGAACGCTTCGTTTGAGGTGCGTAGCTTGCGGCTCATCAGTGCTTCAACCGGAGACAGGCATGCTGGAGCAGCTGAATTTCATGTGGACCGGTAAAAGAACAAGAACGCTTGAAGGCATTCATCTACGGTCCCCTACCCACGAGATTTCAAGAGTGCCCTCTTGAAGGTGTCGACAAACCTCTCCGCTTGACCATTGGACTAGGGATGGTAGGGCGGTGAGCGTAGGTGTTGGATGCAAAGCCAGTGACAAAAGTTTTCGAACATGGAAGACGTAAACTGGAAACCATTGTTGGACACCAAAACGTCGGGAAGGCCATGTTGACTGATGATTCGTTGTAGGCAACTCAGCGTGGAGGATGCGGTTGGTGGGTTGCCGGCGAGCACTTCAAGTCAGTTGGAATAGGTGTTGACCACGACCAGGTAGGAAATGCCATCAATCGGACCAGCACAGTCGACGTGCACTCGAGACCACGGTTTTTCTGTTGGCTGCCAAGGAACTGGTGGTTGGTATGATGGCATCTTGGGTGCTTGTTGAAATCTTGAGCAATAGTGAACCAAAACTTCTATGTCGTTGTCAATACCAGGCGCGTACACATAACCGCGGGCGATTGCCTTCATTCTGTTCATATCGGGATGAGCAGAATGGAGCTGGCGGAGTATAGCTTACCGGAGGCATGAAGGAAGGAGAACTCGGTCTGTAGTCAAGAGGCAGGAATCGATTACGGAAAAGGAGTAGCGGCGTTGATAAAGTTGTCTTAGTTCGCCAGAAAGGACAGTGTTTGGCCAGTGCGTCTGAAGATAAGTGACGACTTTCTGCAGGATAGGGTCTTGAGTAGTTGTACGTGGTATGTCGGCAGCAGTAATAGGGAGACTTCGGACAGCGTTCGAGAGTTGAGGTTGAAGGTCGTCTTCTACGGCAACGGCGGCGATCACCGTGTCTTCTTCTGTGGCATGTCATTTCCATCATCGTAAAAAAACAGTCGCATAGCTATTTTGTTTCCTATAATAAGCATATATTGAGTGTAGCATTTCTGTTTTGTCCATTGCGCCAATGGCTGAGTCGTAATCTTGTACTACCTTAGGTGCCACTAGGTCGGCCATAGTTCCAATCCGCTCTTTATGCCGCACAGTAATTGATTCACTTCCATAGTAATTGGACAACAGCTGAACACACTTGTTATCTTTCCACTTGAAGAACAAAATTACTTGACCAGTAGAACGATAATCAAAATCACCTCTCTTCATCTCCTTGTCATTTTGAAATTTAGGAAGATGTTTCCTGTTGGGACGGACAGTTCCGTAGGCAAAAATGTTGTTCACCTTCAGATGATCAAATAGTTCCACAGCTGTGAACTAAGTATCCATTACCACTATAGAACCACTTCCTTTCAGAGTTTTGGTGTCTGTCCACAACATTTCCCAAAATCCAAATCTGCCTCTAGTATTAGGGATGTCCTGTGACATGCCTTGATAAACTTCAAACTCATAAATATAACCACTTATATCGGCTCGAGAACATAGTTTATAACCACGTTCAACTGCCTTCATATCACAACATATGTATACGCGATATTAAAAATGAAGATATTAATGACTGCCAAATAAATTACTTACTGTTACAGGAATAAATCGTTCAAATCTCCTAATTTTTGCGCCCCACCCCATCGGTATGCACAGTAAAGACTCTAACAGTTGATATTACGCCTGATTCCTGACGGTAGTTTCTGGCACTAACATATATGTTGAATGAGTATAATACGGATTATGCTTAAAATTGCAAAATAAGTATACCGAGTCATGGCATGTCCGCTATAAAAACAAATAAAAATTAATAGGACTCGCAAGCTGCAACGAAACCAATTAAACTTTAACAACTAGTGCAACCACTCACAGATCTCAAAAAGCAATTTTCGGCCACGCTCGACATGAACCACAAACGTTAACTCCACACACTGCAGAACAAAGTAGCATAGCATTGGCCGTTATCGATTTATTGACAGCAGGCTGTTATACGTATCCTCGCGAGTACAGGCAGGAATAACGCCTGCATTTAAGCAATATTACAATTTAAAGAAAGTGGTACTCATAAGTACCGCCAGGGCACAAAGGGGGGTTAAGTCTATGATCATTGCTGCCTGCGAAGCATCGTTGGTGTCCAATAGCACCAGCCGCAGGTGGAATCAGAAACATACTGGCTCATTTTTAGTGTGGTGCTATCGTGATGAAAACACTAAAAACTGAGGCCAATACATCGTTTGAATCGGACACAATGTCATACTTTTCCGTTTTCAGGCTATCTTCAACAGCGAGGTCGAAGCAAACAGGTGACGGTGAATGAGCAAACGGATTGCGTGATGACAGCGTTGAAAGTAACCGGGCTATCGACAGCACACGGGCGCGAAAGCTATTAGAATGCATCAAAACGAAATTCGGTCATGCATGGTGTCGGGCATGCGATTGAACCAAATGTCAAAAACCATTGACGGGCAACGCACAACACACATCAATTGGTTCCCACCGTCTATCCGCATTGAACAATGTCATGCGTGTCCACCTGAGTGGATTTAGGATGTAACAAACATATCGGTTCCGAGTTGCAAAAAGAACCGACAGGCTGACAAATAACAATCTGTGACACTTCCGAAACGCCCACAATTATTCGTTTTTATGTGTGGAGCAAGCAAAGTCTACCCCAATTTGAAAAGCCAGAGCCACACAATTACAACATGGGCAGCCTCGTCGGTAGGAGTTGGACAGCAAGAAGAGGGTGTGAATCAAGAGAACAGGTAGTCTAGGGGGACAACTTATTCTAGAGGAGGATGATACACATGTGGCACAATGTAAGGACACATATTTGCATTAAAACGAAGGTTAAGAAGAGAAAATGGTATGTAACTAAAAGGTCATGCAACATCGTGACTCACCGTCGAATTGGTACTGAATTATGTTGTTGAAGACCTCCAGCAACAAGAACACTAACTGATAATGTGTCGGAGCAGCGTAGAGAAAGCGCGGCTGGCTAAACGCCTCCAACAAATGAATCAATTTGTTAGCGGTCACCATGGACAGTGTCTTCAGGTAAGGAGAAACTAAAGGGAGAATGGGTAGAGGGTTTGCCAGTTATCGGATACTGCGAGAAAAAGCAGACAAATAGCAAAACAATAAACGCTACACCACCGCAGCTGGTAATGAGCCGCCTCCGTCACACGTGGTTCAATGGCATAAGCCAATGCCCGCAAAAGGATAGATGGAGGTCAGAAGTTTGCAGGACTTAATGACAGTGCGTCGCATCACTCTAAACTCTCACTCGATTTGTGATCGACTTCAAACCATTGATGCCTCACACAACACCTGCCTCCGGCACTAACACCTTTCCGTGTGTAGCAATTGTCATCCCATTCGCTCATACCCTTTAATAAATACTGTTATCGTTTCTAACTCAGCATCATCTACACGTTTTCTCTTCGCTTAGAACGCTTACAAATTAAGAAAGCTTACCTAAATGGTGCGCTGCAACACTCAAAAAACGTTTGGCGTGATTCTCCCTTGCTCTCACACCGCCTCGATATTCCCGACATCTGGCTGCGCACAGGATTACAGCTCCACCGCACTTTTATTGCCCCGGCCTAATGGTTCTCCACCCATTGAAGCGGACCAACACTTCAGTTAAAATGCTGCTGCTTCTACTTGCATTAATTCGCGCACAAGTCGTGCATACATGGAGGGTATACCAGTGGTGCGTCGCAACACAGTAGTCCCCCGTGAACCGTCCCTTAATCGACCTCTTTCTTCGCACTGATTGACTCTCTTGCTTCTCTCCTCACTCAAGTACTGTAAACGACATACTGAACGGATTGCTAATGAACTCTCGAGTAAAAGTGCCTGTATCTGACACATCTTTTAGCTGCACAGGCATGTTATGTATGGAATAGCAGCACACCCACAATGGTGTGGATCTATGAGTTTTTCATATGCGCCCCAGTTCGCGTGGCATTTCGGCGTTATCCCCTTCCAAAAGCTCTAGTAGAAACAGTCCAGTATTATCAGGTTGGATCGCTTATAGGAACCGTATGGAAACCGCAGGTCAAAGACGAGAAAAGTATACGGACATTGATCAGGATCGATGCTTTGTCAGTCTTATTTCTCAATGTTGAGTGATACAAATGCCATCCCACATGTTAAAGAAGGTGCATTGTTCGCCGATGATTCAAGTAATTATGTCATTCGATATTATCCCGAGATGATAAGATTAGGTTAATACGTGGACCCTTACATCCATTTACTTTGCGGGTCACTTTTGTGGACCGGATGCATTGTGTCCTCAAGTAATTCAGGAAGAAACTATAATGCATTACCAAGGATCAGCGCTCTACACGCCTTCATTTTTCCCCTGCGATGCCTGACTGTGCACTCATTACTATCACATTATATGAAGTAAGAAAGAGTCGGACTTCTCACCGCTCAAGAATGCATCCGTCCAGTGAACGTGACACCTGCACCTGCTTGCTAAAAATGCACCCAGGAAATATCATCTGCAGGATCAAATGGCCTCATTCCGGGACTGACTAGGGAAACTCTATGCATTAGCTTGATAGGATTTCAATCGGAACTCCCCAGCTCGATACTTTTATCCTCGCTACACGTATGGAAACAAACTCATCCATTAGCTTTGGGCCAATGCTCCGACGTATGACTTTACGGTGTCAACTGAAGCTGCATTTGTAAACTCCGTTTCACAATCAACATTTTCAGCGCATCCAGTATGTTGTCTTAAACAAATCTCATACTTGAAGCTGGCCGATCGGCCACGGACTCACCAAATAATTACTCACAGATTTCGAATTAAACCCATTGTCTGGCTCCTCTATTCATGATATTTCAATATGAGCCAGGCCTTATAGTTAATCGGAAAGTATCATTATCTTGGCAAGTGAACACCATTTCCAGATTGAAGAGGCGTGTTTCTTGATACGTGAAGTAGGCTCCTCATAGACCTGACCAGCAGAGGTGACCGGATTACCAAGGTAATATAACCGGTCTATCAATTCCAGTGAGTGGTCATTGATAGCTAAGGCCGGTGGCGTATCGGTCCAGTCCTGCAACAGTACCTTGCAGGGTGCAAAGCACCAGCCGAAGCGTGTAGCGCTACGCACCACTCTGTTCACTAGTGCTTGCATAGCCACAATAGTAGACTCAAGGACAGCTGTGATCCGCAGACCAGAGATAAGTTCCGCTCCGTTCGATGGCCTGTCAGGACTTCCGCTACCATGCTAATAATAAGTAGGGCCAGGGAGAATAAGGAGCAAGGCAGGATATAAACGCGTAATAAGGAGAAAACGTTAGTCCAGATAAAGTAGGCTGGAAACAAGGGAGCGAAAGTAGGAGAACTACTGGTTCCATGACAACACTTGTAAATGATGCGGTGGGTTCCGATGCGTCGATCTGCGAAGGCCACATCTACCAGCCTGTCCAATGTACCGGAACAACTTTTCTCGCTTTTTGCCATGTCATCAAGTGGCCATCCCACGGTTCCATATAACTGGGTGCAGCGATAGTCAGTCAGCTGGTATATGCAGATGACCTGATCAACCTGAGCGGTTTGTTGGGCGGAAATCCCAACGCGACGTCAGAGGACCACGTTCCAAACGGAAAATCACGGGCATCACTATTGTTCGACCGGTGCTTCCAACACATGTAACAATGCTTCCTGAGTATCGACGATCAAAGACGACCGAGCTGTTGATGCTGTGTACCCACACTTTTCGATAATTGGTCAATGTTTCACCGTCTCAAAAGAAGAACGAAGCTATGAAAAGTGATGCGGCACAAACTAACGGCATATGACAGTCTCCAAGAACCAAGCTAGCAGACTATAGTATCGGAAGCTGGTAGAACGAATCGTCGACATCGCTGAGCACAAACAAACAGGAAACAGGAAGACTTACCATTAGCAATGATCGTTATGAGACAATCGAAGAGAGGTTGCAAGCATCGGTGGCCATTGGTGATGAGTTTGTGAAAGACCTGGGAATAGGGACACAACATGTACACGAGGTATGATAATGGAACAAAGGCTGAGGTACACCAAGTAACGCATCTGAGATGATAATATTTGTGGTGGAACGATTGACAACCATTCCGAATAACCGAGACGCAACAAATTGGAATTGATGAGAGCGGAAGCAGTAAGAACGGACACGTATCAGAAAGATGCGGACAATTGGACTAGTGTGTCTCATGATACGATGAGCCGTGCGAAGAGCAAGATGCGATAAAACAGTAGACCAGTCTAAACGGCAGCCGGTACGAAATAGAAATGCTAAAATGGGGACAAGTAATAAAACATAAGAATAGCAGAACAAACCTCAAATTTGATTAGTCGAACTTTGCATGAAGTATAAAATAACCAGAATAGTCACTGTTTGTAATATCGCAGAAATGGCTCCTGTTCGACTCACAAAGTCGAATAAGCACACTCGTCAACCACCGAAATCTCCACGTTTTTCTTTTGGGCTTTCCTGGGTAGGATCGCACCAATGGGCTTCTCTTTCCGATTGGCCGATTGCGGAAAATAGGAACATCGAAATGACCGCAGAAAGGGACGATAATTCATGATTGACTTTTCACTTCCCCTCGGGGGAAAATGCCGAGTTATGTGAGCTTACGTGGATGTAGAATGACCCACCCAGCCAATACCCATCGCACCACAGATTACCACACTAGATTTTTGACATCTGACAGCTTTGTTCACCGACGTTTTAAGAATCCGCCAAGCCAAGATACATAGTTGGAAGGAGTGTGCCAGTAATGAAGCTAATGCAAACTATCAGACATAAGTTAAATTTGCACTGAAGTTTTTTCCCCGAACTATAAAATAAAATGACGTAAAAATGAATTGACAGAATTATAACATTTCGGAAATCCGCGGACCTCCTGTAAGTATCGCGCGGACCGTTAAGGAGTCCTGATAAGTGGTACGAAGGAGGACGGGTCCGACACAAATTACGATTTGATGTAAGAGAATCCGATTTTTCTTAAGTGACCCTTGTTTACCCAAGGAATGCTCGAAGTGAGTTGATGTTGCATGATGCGCCGCCCCCACCCCAGGAAGTAAAGGCTTGATAGTGATCAGTTGCGTTAGTGCTTTTTCGCTTTCGGTTTTGAATCATCAATTAACAACTGTCGGCCCACGTACGTTCTGTAATCGTCACCACTTATTGCAATTAGTCTATTCGGTGCACGTGAGAAAGTTCGGTTTTGTTCACACCGGACCGAACCAAGCACGAGCGGTCTATTAGGCGCATACCACTGCGGTCAATTGTTGATTCTAACGGCAAACGCGTAAGCGGTGCTCGATTGAGCCAATGTTCCCGCGTGACTAGTTTATCAACTATCCTTAAGCAGGCCACTAAGGGTCATTGGGCTCCAATGTTTTTCATCACCATTTACAGGTGTCCAGAAACGAAATATTCTTCATTTTAGCGGATGTGCTATCGGTCCGTAGTATAGCTGAAACGAGTGAAGTGCATCACATAACCTTCAAACCTGCGTGATTGGGTACATAGGGTGCTCTGGACAAATCCGTGCTAAGCGTGGGATGCTGAAGAACAAAGACAAGGCTCACCAAACAACTATGGTCCGTGCATTGAATCGCGGTGTACGCAATTACTTTGATTCAAGCTACCGCACTAATAATTATAATTTTTATAATAATGCTGAACCGACGATTTCGTCTTTGTTTGGATTCATCAGGCTGATAGACAGAGCTGAGTGGAACCCGGAACGTAGTGGTTGACGACTGATGCTGTTTAGTACTGGGTCACTGAAGTCTGCGAGCTACGCGGTGAGTTTTGTAGTAGCCACCGTGAGTAGGGATTGCGACACAATCATTAGAATAACCACGGTTTACTTTGAAGTAGATCTCAATGATTCCGGTTACGGGGATCGTGACCGAGGCAGAGAGAGAGAGAGAGAGTTCAGAATGACCGAGGGTTCAGCAGAGATGGTGTATCGCAATCTATATAAACGGCTGGAGCAAAACAGGATCCCTTAATGTTACTACTACTTACGACTACTAGTAGTCATAGTGATAATAAACAACTGTGAGCCAAGAAAAAGTGAAATGAACAGATGGAGAAGTTA